GAAGAAAGAAGAGATCCCGGCTGAAGCCAATGAGAAGAAGGAAGGGAGCACAGCTGAAGCCAAAGGTGAAGTGTCAGATACAGAGATCATCCCTGACTCACCGGAGGAGGCGGGTGACCCTAACAAGAAGATTGAGGACTACATGAAATCAGAGATTGAGGCACTGGAGTTGCACGCTACCTCTGAGGAGATGCGCCTGAAGCTTATCTACCTGAAGATGGTCGTGAACAACGAGATCCCAATGCCAAAGGAGTTTACCCCTTCGTCAAAGGACTCAGCTGCTGAGTCTGCGGCAAAAGCCAAACCTAAGGGCAAAGCCAGGCCCAAGCATGCTGCCAAAGCAAAGGCCTCGCCCAAAGGCCAAGCTGCGCCGAAGCGTGCTTCCAAAGCAAAGGTGAAGAAGCCAACCAAGCCGAAGAGCAGATCCAAGCCCAAGAGCAACGAGGCTCCGGAACAGGAAGAGCTGTTGAAGAAGCTTCGAAGTGCAGCTCGTCCCATATACAAAATCCTGTTAGCTCATCCCCTTGAATGCCATTAAACACCTATCAAAACACGTTCATTCCCCTGGATCAACCCAACTCACACGTAGAAACTTCACCTGATCTCAGGTATACAGTGTTGCTTGGAAAGTCGCAAGGAGGGATGGCATGGTGGCTGAGAAGATCTCACAATCGGCATGGAATGCCCGCAAGCTGCAACTTGGCTCAAAGGTCCATGTGAACGTACAAATTGTGTTCTTGGATTCTTTTGAGTCATATTTGACAATGCATTGAGTAACATCTTGGATTTGCACGAATTCATCGTGCTGATAAATCGTGTGTATCCCCGTCTAAGGTGGATCTTGAACAATGGTCACGCGGACAATCCGATTGTGGCCAAGTTTTTGTGACATCTAGATTCTATGGGTTTTGAGTGATGCAGGGGTGCTAAATGCATCAAAGCGTCGCAGTTGGATGCGGCCGGGCCGGACACAGCTCTTGAGGAAAATGAGCAGCAGCTTGTGGAGTGAACATGAATGGAACCTTTATCTTGTGACTAATCATCCCACTACATCCTCTAGTGATCTAGGGATGGATAGACCCACTTCCAGATTGGAAAGGATCTGCTTACAGCTGGGCTTGCTTTCTTTGGTTTCCATGTCATGTGTTCCAACCAACATGACATGGCTTGATTCGTTGTTTGTTTTTTCATGCTTATTAGTTGTGTTGAACCAAAACGCCTTCACCATGCTTTCACCTACCCCACCGATCCCTCCGTGGGCCGGCAGCTCGTCCCCAGGACGGGGACGACACCAACTTCTCCGACGCGGGCTCCACGAGCTCGCGTGAGAGGCGGGTTCTGCCGGGACGGTCCGTGCGACGGTGGAGCGGAACGGTTGTTGGAGCGCGGTGCGGTGCGTTTTGTGAAGGTTCCATGTTGGAGAATCCACGAATTCGGTGGATCCGGTGAATTGAAGTAGGCAGCCATGTTTCTGAATGCTTCAGGGATTCAGAAGTGTTCATAACTCATGAAAATCACTGTTCAGTTCGGTTTCTCGGTCTGTGAATCATCTATCGCCAGTCAGTGCGCCGGTGAGGCGCCTGGCACACCGTGTGCGTGCGGTGGACTTGAAGTTGGCATGGCAGATCCATGCCAAAGAATGTCAGCAGGACCGAGGTCACCGACGGTCGCCGTGGGGTGCCTGTTGACGTCCAGTCCGCAGCCAGGAGTAGAGGCCCGATGACTTGATTGGAATACCTTCAGCACTGGGTTCATCGCGAGATGATTTCTCACGTGATCCCATGTTTGAATCAGATCACGGAGACCAAATGCATCAATATGTATATCAAAATGCAGTCCCAAAGTCTTTCTTTCATGGATGAAAGCAAAGTTGCCCATAGACTGTGAAGTCCTACTTTCCCTTTAAGACTTTGGATGTGTTGTTTTTTTCTCAGGTATACAGAGCCCCACCAACCCGGAGGACATTGACCCAGTTCGTCGAACATCACATCACCAAATCTGGCTCCCCTGCAGATGAATATGGAGCCCCCAATGAGTTGTCATCAGCCCACCACATCACGGGTGAAGTGTTTGTTTTCTTCCCTGGATCTATGCAGAGGGGGTACGCCCTGGAAGAGTTTCTCTAAACCACATTGTGAATGCTCGTTTCCCTTACAGAGGCCATGTTCAGGTTCGGCTGTGGGTCCAAAACTTGGAGGGTTGACCTCCCGTGTTGACCGGTTGACCTCAACTGGTCGGTCTGTTGACCCATCTCTGCTAGGCTAACTGGTTGACCTGAGTGGTGTTGACCTCCTTAGCCGCAGCCCACTGGTGCTATACAGCGGATTGAGAGGGAGAAACGCGATCCCCAAGGTCGGTGTTTGATATGGACCCCCTATATCAAAGACCTCGACTGGGGTGCCTACTCTCAATCCACAGTATACTAGGACCCCAGGACCACCTCTTTTCGGGGCTATCAATCGACACCCCTTAGGGGGTCCTGGTAGGTTCTGGCATTTCAATCACTGCCAGGAAGCCTCTCAGGTCCCCAAGTCTTGGAGAAAAGCCTCTCAGGTCCCC